TCAGTCTGTCAGCAAGTCTTACTGTCGGGCCCCATCTGGGGCTCACGACTAGATATTTATTACTGTTTGACACTTACGGTCTTCTTATTATTATCTGGTCATGAGCCCCAGATGGGGTTTGACACCAAGACTTACTGACTGACTGACCGCCAGTCACAATGTGACTTTGGCTTGGACAAAGGAGCCGGTATTCAGCAGAGCAGAAGTCGGTCAGTCGCGGTCAGACGAATAACTTATGAATAACCCTCTATAATAAAATTATGCAGGCAACAAGCAGAAGTCACGCAGAAACATGACAACGAAAATATTCGTGATACTGGACAAGGCGAAGCCCGACATACAAAATATAAAAGGCTTAAACTTGTTGACGGTCAAGCGTACTATGACTGCCGTTGTAGCGGAAGTTACTAGGAATAGGGCATAATCTGCTGTATTGAGCCTGGACTGACAGAAGCCCTGTGTATATTTTATATACATTTATTAACATGTTTAATATGTAAATTGTAAATATCCTTTACATTATGACAAATGACTTACTACTGCAGACAATGGCTCTGACAAAAGATAGAACCGTCCTCTCATCAGAGATAGTGCCCCACAATAAAAAGACCGTAACTATCAAACAGTAATAAACGTCTGGTCATGAGCTCAGATGGGGTTCGACACCAAGACTGACTGATTAACTGACCGTCAGTCGCAATGTCACTTTGACTTTGACTTAACCGAGTGAGTGACAAGTTCAGTTACGAGTCAGCCGTAAACTGGAGGGGTGAGTCCAGAAGAATTTTTATTCCAAGGTTCCAGAGTGACTGAAGACGAAATAGCAAGAAGAATTCATAGTGGCTTGAAGTGCTAGTTTCTGTGTTGAGATCCGTTGCTAGGAGACGACTAGTGAAGAGTGGGAATCCTAATGAGTGTGCAACGGTGAACTGGAAATTGTGTAAACCAGCAAGAGCGCTGTATTTAAGTGTGATTAAGATAACTTGTAACGAAGGTGCTAATGAATCCAGCATCCGAACTAGAACCCGTTAGTCAAAGTCAAACTCACATTGCGACTGACAGTCAGTCAGTCAGTCTTTGTGTCAAGCCCCATCTGGGGTTCATGACCAGATATTAATTATTACCGTTTGACAGTTACTGTCTTATTTTTGTGGGGCGCCCTCTCTGACGAGAGGATGGGTCTGTCTTTTGCAGATGCTGCTGGCCCTTGCCAGCGCGATCTTTCTCGAGTCCGAGTCCCTTTGGACTCGCGACCATCTTTTACTGTCTCAGATTTGAGACTTCCCTTTTCGTTACCTCTTACGACTCGCAGGATCACGGTGGAGGTATTCGAGGCTGTCTGCACACGGTAGAACCCGTTATTCTTGGAATCTCTTTATATAGCCGCGGCACGGACCACACAGAAAACACAGTTCTATTGTAAGAACCGTTGCGCGATCTAGCAACGGTCACACAGAGAACCCGGTTCCTACTGTTTCTCGGCGTGGACGACATAGAAACCACAGCCTCATCTATTGTTGCATAACCTAGCAACGGGCTATTTACCAAGATTCGGTCTTCGCGGGAACTTGTTTACCAAGAAGTTGCTAGCAATGGGTGTGCATGTAACAATATGTTACACTAATGTTTTCTAAACGAAAGTAACCGACTTTAACATACTCGTAGTGATATGGTGAAGTTACCATGAAGTCATATGTTTTAATCATTCTAATCAGAAAAAACAAGATGGCTATCGCGCGTAATTTCTGATCTTAATAGGAATTTTCACTGAGAAACTTTATACACCTCGGTATAAATTTATTTCCTTTACAAACAAAAGTAAGTATGCCTACACATAAAACAGGCTTTCGTGTATTAATACGTATCAAACGTACAACATTATACCAGTTCCCAACACAGTCAAGAAACACGTAAAGTAAGCATATTAATTATGGAGATTGGTGGGATAGCTTAAGTTTACTGGTAGTCCCATCGAAGAAACTTAATTTGATTCCCAACCGTAAGGCATCGAAATGCTCCAGCTCTCCCAAAGTCTTAATTTTGTTCGTTATTTGTCAGTTATTAACAAGGAGCAGAGTGCTTGTCGCCTCTTCCGGAACCAAAACGTTCATTACCGCATTCACAAGAGCCCACAAATATTCTCATGAATTCAGTTCACATTCTCACAGTCTTTCTGTTTGTAGAACAAATGCTTCAAACAAAGAAGCACGAAAAATACGCAAAATGAATATTATTACCTTGTGGCATGCAGTAGTTTGTGATCTGGTATAAGCTTACTGAAGTTTGAGAGGAAGATACTACCTCAGTCTTCAGGATCGAAGTAGAATAAACTGTGTTTGTTGCTCGATTGATTTGCTTTTCGACTATGAAGAAGGAGGCAGTTAGTTCTTCCGAAACGTGGGCATTTTTCTAACAGGCTGCAAGACATTACAACCCATAAGACAGCAATATGCACAGTCACCACCTTGAGAAGTCAAATCTGACACAGAAAGCTTAAAAATAAATGGTTTAAATAAAGATGCGGACTGGACACAGATATGCCGAGATATAGCGCACGCCCTGGCCGTGACATCATCAGATGTTCCACGGTCATGAGACGCTGTGCCGTCCAACAGGCGTCGCGTTAGCAGTCCGCGTGTTCATATATAAGGCGGAGAAAAAAGAACTAACGGAAACTCGACATCACACCACCACCAGATGACACACTTCTGGAACATTCAGACTCCGATATAGAGCTCCTAGAAGACGATGAAGTGCTTAACAAACATTTACGTTTTTGTGGATACGTTCCTACATGAAATGTGTTTAGTAGTCAGTAAAAAATATCGCAAGTCAAATTTTGTTGCGCCGGTCACGGTAGCCGAGCGGTTTAAGGCATGTACTGTCTTTGCTCGCTTGGAAACCGGGATCGTGGGTTCGAATCCCACTCAAGGCATGGATGTTTAGTTTGTGTGTGTGCGTTTTTCTGTGTTTGTATATAGGTAGAGGCCTTGCGACGAGCTGATCACCCGCCCAAGGAGTCCTACCGAATGTGTAAGATCTAGAAAAACCAAAGTGAACGGAGAAGTTCATGGAGGTAGGCCTAGACCCACTGGGGCTGTAGTGCCAAGAAAAAAAAATGTTGCTCTTAAGACCCGTGAGAATTTCATGTGTTCTTCCTTCTTCTCTTTCGAACGCTATTAAGCTCGTTAAATGCAGCTGTTAGACCTCCTTTGAATAGGTACCATATCTCTACGTTGTTCACTGCTAATCTTTCTATAGGCGTAGGCTACGTCTTCGTTTCCTTCTTCTTGTTCTTTTTCCTCTTCACTTCATTGAACAGCCAATAAAGCCTGTTCCGACCTCACATGACAATTATATTTTCCCCATACCTCCTTCGGCATCCTTTTCGTTTATACTGTGGAATATGTTCCAGTGTTATCTCATCCGGTGCACGCGGTAGCGTAGTTGGTTGAGGCACTATTCTACAAGCCGGGAGATCGCGGTTTCGAATCCTTATAGGGTTATTGAATTTTTCATTTGCCCTAATACTTCCAGCCACATTATGGCCATTGCGTCTACTCGGTCTCTAACGGAAATGAGTTCCGGGAATCTTCCTGGGGGTAAAGGGCGCAGGCGCGTACGACTGACACCCTTATCGCATTCTGTGAGCCGATTGTCTAGAAAAAGTGGGAGCCTCAATGTCTCACAACCCTATGGGCCTCCATGGCCTGTTACAGGTATAGTTTTCCCTTTATTATTATATCCGTCTTACTTTCGAAATAGTTCGTCCAGTTTGGCCTGAGGGCCTCCATTTGGTATTGTGCTAGTTCTATCTTAATTTCTTTCATATTGTCGTCATTCTTAACATGAACAATTCTAGTGCAGCCTTGAATTGTTTTTAAGTATCTCATTTTTGTTAATTGCATTGTATTTTATGTCTAACTCCACGGAGTAGAGTCATTTTTGAGAAGCTAACAGTTGCTGATTCATTCGAGAGCTCCCAGCATTTTATGGAACCTGCCATCTCATCTGCTATAGCAAAATACAAAGATTAAAATGCACAGAACTGTAACCTTATAGTTCTGCTATGAGCTTAACTTTGGTCTCTCACATTAAGGGAAGAATACAGACGAAGGGAGTTTGATGACTAGATGCTGAGGAGAATATTTGGACCTAAGAGGGATGATATAATAGAGGACTTGAGGAGATTATGTAACAAGGAGCTTCATAAGATCTATTCCTCTCTAGATATTGTTAGATACATCAGATCAAGGAAGATTAAAAGACAGGACATGTAGTATGCATGGGAGAACAGTGATTTGGTACTAAGTCCTAAAGAAAGAGTCCTCTAGGAAGACCTCGTTGTAGATGGGAGAATAATATGAAACTGGATCTTGGAGGAAGAGTATGGAGGTATGAACTGAATGAATTTGGCTCAGATTAGGGACAAGTGGACGGCTTTTGTGAACATGGTAATGAACATTCAGTTTCCTTAATATTTTGGAAAAATTTTTGAGTAGCTACACAACTGGTGGTTTCTCAAGAAGGGCTCAGATATGTGGAGTTAGTTAACTAAGCGCATTGTTTTTGCGCCAATTTCTTTCTTAGTTGAAATTTTCAGAATGTACGAGTACATTTTATCTGTAAAAGGTAAAGTTGTCCCTAAGTTCATGGAGGCAAGCACTATGCCATGAAGAAAGCACTATGCCATGAAGACGTATGGGAGTGGGTGTATATAAATTTTACCTGTGTAAACTATAGATCTAAGTGCTATAAATTTTCATGGCTGTCTTACGCTAATTTTCACGAGGGGAAGGGAGATTTGGGGAAACCAAAAGCAGAAAAAGTTCCACGTGTCTGGATTTATTGGGGATATTTCCGTTGTTTGGCTCTATTCCTTAACATATTATGGAAGAGCGTGATTTTCTTCGCAGGATCAGCTGACCTCGAGAGCCAATGGGAAGACGCGTCCCTCTGAGCATGGTTTGTTACGCTGCGCTGGGGCTGCCCTATATCAAGGCGTCCATGAGAAGAGGGTGGCATAAGATCCAGAGGGACGGAGTTGGTTGGTCCAGACGCTTTGGTAGAAGAAATCAAGCCTTGCTGTTCGTCAAAGGTACGCTAAATGGCTCCTGAAAAGCACATCTATCTATTCTGTATGAAAACTGATACTTTCTAACTAACTAACTAACTAACTAACTAACTAATTAACACCATGGAACTGAACCCTTTTGAGAAGCCGAAAATTGTGCAGCCTCTCAATAAATTACCAGAATTTCATGGAACCCGAAAGTTCAGTACCGTGTCCGCAAGGGACTGCCACTGGTGCCCACACAAAGCCAGATGAATCCAGCCGGCAGCCATTTATCCTGTTTCTCTTCTCTATTATCCCATCTACGTCTGGTCTTTCTGTGAGCCGAAATGGCGTAGTCGGTATAGAGACTGGCTACTGGATGGACGGCGAGGGGTCAGAGTTCGAGTCCCTGTAGGATCAAGAATTTTCTCTTCTCCACGTTGCCCATTCCTTCTCTTGGGTCCACTATTCAATGGGTACAAGGGGCTCATTCCCTGGGGGTAAAGTGGCCATGGCGTGAACCTGACCCCTCAACTCCAACTAGTGCCGAGATAAAAAATATATCTCTACATCGACTCCCCCGTACGCCTTTTTGGCGTAGTGCTTATTTCATTAAGCACAGGAACAACTTTACCTTTTTTACCTTTATGTCTGGTCTTTCTAGCGGTTTCCTTCCTTCTGGTTTTCCCACCAAAACCTTGTATGCACTCATTTGCACACTAACTCGTGCTACATGCCCTGGCAATCTCATCCTCTTTGACTTGATCATTCTACTTATATTTGGCGAAGAGTACAAGTTATGAAACTCCTCATTATGCAGTTTTCTGCAACCTCCTGTCACTTCATCTCTTGTCGGTCTCAGTACTCTCCTCAGCACCCTGTTCTCAAACACCCTCAGTCTATGTTCCCCCTTTAATGTCAGAGGCCAAGTTTCACACCCATACATAAATAAGGGGAAAAAATTGCAGTTTTTTATATTTTAATGTTATCGTGTTTGAGCAGGCAAGAAGATAAAAGATTCTGAACCGAATGGATTAACTGAATTTAATAGGTTCTTTTTCTCTTATGCATAACATTTCAGTATGTCACTGTCGTTCCGAAATATTCGAACTTCTCCACATTTTAAAATGATCTATTCGCTCTCTTTATGTTATCATTCTGATTGCAGTCCGGTGACGAGACAGCAACAAAAAATAAGTTTTCCCCCTGCGTCATTTCGAACATACAGATCCAGGAAGCTCCGACCTAGACTGTGGCGCCTCGTCGCCATTCACTGAAGTACGAACAGTATCGCTGAAGAAGAATATTGTGTTTAAGAAAATTCGGATAAGTTTTTTCATTATTTACTTTAATTACGTCACAGAAATTAAATGGACTGATTAGTCCAGCGATAACCTTCTAGACTTGTATTCTGGATGTTTTCGGATCGAATCCCGGTTTCGACATTGGATATCGCAGTTTTCCTCAGTACCCTCACTCAAATGCTGGGATAATACCTCGATTAGGCTATGGCTGCTTTTTCCGAATGCTGTACAATTCATTATTCACGAATTATCCTATCGTTCAATGCTAGGCAGCAGTGCCTTGATGTGTGACTTCCTGACTTAAATGCACTTATACGATCCTACAAGGATCCTATGAAATGAATGAACACGGATTAGAAATCCTTTCCCAGTTTTCGGAGTTACAGTTCGAAATTATAATTTCATACCTTGGACAGCTTCTTCAGAGAGCCCAAGACGCCCCAGTGACCACCTCCCAAACCTAGCAGCTTCCAGAATATCTCATAACTCGAGCTCTCCTGTCTCAGTTCCATGAGGTGTTGGTAATGTCGGATTTTGATAATATTTTGTTAGCTGTTTGTAAATGCTCTGGCAGCTAGAACCATAACTTTTTATGATCCATGTTGTAACGATTTGGTGGCTAGAATAGCAACTCTTTACGATCCGTGCTAAAATATTAAAGAAATTGCATGTTGTTAACATTTTTATAGTTTAAATCTTTAATATTGTGTTACTTTCATGTATTTTCTAATACGAAAATAGTATTTTAACGTAATGTGATTTAAATTATGGAAAAATAGGCTTGAGCCTGGAACTCCAGGAAAGTAACTTTTAAGTATCTTACGTTAAAATGAATTCGACTTGACATTTTTCAACTTATGACCCATTTTCGGAAAAGCATATAGTCATAAGCCGGTGTTAGGATTGTGTAATTTAGATACTAAATAAATAACTAGGTAAGAAGGCAAAGCTATCCCTGTAACAGACCGTGGAGGCCCATAGGTTTGTGAGAAGTCGAGGCTCCCACATTTTCTCGACAATCGGCCCTCAAATGGCGGTGAAGTTTTCAGCTTTACGTATCGGCCGCGCTTTACCCCCTAGTAAGATTGCTGGTATTCCTTTTTGTTAGAGGTTAAGTAGACCCGGGACTATAATGCGGCTGGAAGGTTAGGTAAACTGAAAAATCCAATGACCTCATCTTGAACCGAACCTGCAACCTCCCGGCTTTTAGCAGAGTGCCTCAATCAATTACGTGCCCACTGACTAAATAACTAATTGAAACCGAAGTTTCATTACCGTCTCTATAAGAGCTATCCACTGGTCCCTATCCTGAGCCAGATGAATCCAGTCCAGACCACCCAATCCTTTTTCTCTAAGATAATTTAAATACTGACAGCGGCATAATATAATCACCCGAAACAAGATAACCTAGCACTAGTGTGCTGCTTATTTATTCTCTGTTCAGTTAAAGAGGCTTCCAGTTTCTAACTGTGAAATGGAAATGAGTAATGAATTTCGAAAGGATATGAAATTAAGCGATCGTAGGCTAATGTGAAGTGGAGGGACTGAGAAAAACCATAAAAATTCTCAGCCTGGAGAGCCGGTATCAGGACTCAGATTTCAACCCCGTATTCTCAGCTGGTGAGAAGGAATATGAACCCGGTTTCATATGTTTTTTTTTCGGATAAGTTGGGTGAATCGTCATAGCTGCAGCTTTGAATTAAATGTAAATATAGAATATTATTTACTGAGAACCGGGATAACTCAGTCGGAATAGCGACTGGCTACGAGCTGGAAGACCGAAGGGTCGGGGTTCAAATCCTGGTAGGGTCAAGAATTTTTTCTTCTCCACGTCCTCCAGACCGGCTCTGAGGTCCACCCAACCTCCTATCCAATGGCTACCGGGGGCTACTTCTCAGGGGGTTAAGCTGCTGGAGCGTGAAGCTGACCACACACCTCCCAACTAATGCTGAGGTCAAGAAAACGTGGGTCTATATATCCACTTCCCCATACACCTTCATGGCGTAGTGCTTAATTAGTTAAGCACAGGGACAATTTTACCTTTTTATCATGTCGTAATCTTACACAGCTAAGAGATAAAATGGCGTGAGGTTAGGAGTCGCTGTTGTGTTGTTATGCGGCCTCTGTTCTCACACAGCACAAAGATAGATTACCAACGCTGTGTATAGCAATAAGGATGATAATAATGATAACCTGAGGAAAACTACGAAGTATATCAGTAAGTATAACAGACATCCTGGCAGAGGTTCGAACCAAGCACTCCAATATACGAGTCTAGAGCATTACTACTGCAGTCCAACAAATTGGGTCAGGCGCCAAATGCTTCTGACTTTTGTCTGTGACGTGCTCGGTTCTGATATCGACCGACACACTGATTATCCTGACCGAGGTTCTTCGTGATCTTCTTCAGACTGTCCAGGTGAATGCCGAGATAGTGAGTTGAAACAAATAAAGCCTGCATCTGTCTGTAGGCTTCCCAAGTCACTGCATCTTAATAGTCACACCACGTGACGCTACCTGTAATCTGATTTACTAGCATAACGGTAAGGTAAAGGTAAAATTATACTTGTACACAAATTATGTTTACTCGTAATATCACGCCATGAAGTGTTTAAGTTCCTTCTATTCTTGGTCTGGGCACCAGACGGAGTTGAGTGGTCAGCTTCACGCCCCCGCCGCTTTACTCCTCCAGGGAAAGAGCTTCTGGCACGCATTAAACTAGAAGGCTCACTGGGCCTCAGAGCTAGTCTGGACTCTGTGGAGTAGAGTTACTAACAAAAACAAATTTCGTGGCCTGTAGTCCGCAAGCGAACTATACCGACCGAGCGACCGCCGCTTGTCGGCCAAGTTAGTGCCAACTTTAGCGGGTAGAGGGCGTCACGTGGTCAGCGCAACGGATCCCCACGGCCGTTAATTTCGGTTTTCTAAACTGGAGCCGCCATTTCCTTGATATAGCGTCTGAATTATCCTGACGGGGCTGAGTGAACCCGTTCCAGACCCAATACTTCTCAGAGAATCTGATAGCTCCGGGAATCGAATCCGGACCTCTAAATCTGTAGTCAGGAAGACTGACCACTAAACCACAGAGGCGGTGCAGTTACTAATAATATTGTTAAATAAACAATGAAATAAATAAAGTTACCGCTACACTACCCTGCTCAATGTGTGAATGGGAAAAGGCCCATTGCTTGATAAGGAAGTAGAGGGTTTATGGTGAGCGGGTAGAATGAGAAGCACGTGTCACATCCTTGACCTACAAGGGATACGAACCTGTGAGCATCAGAAGACGGTTTTAGCGGTCATGGTCAACACTGCAATTATTCTCAAGACCAGCTTGTGGCAAAGAACGCAATGTAATGCCAGTCTAGGCTCGCGTCCAAATGACCGTGACTTGCAGAAAGTTACTCTTGCGTTTTCATACAATTTGTAGCACGAGTAACCTTCATGTTTCATTTCCAGTTGAACACGTGGGAGTAAAATCTAAAATCGCGCCCACCTTATTTACAGTGCTTTTAGTAACATTAATTCCATCCAATTGGGTCTCGTAAAGCGCGGCTTGCCCCTTTGACAGCCGTAAGAAATGAAACAGTGAACACATGCGTGGCCGACCAACTCTTTGTAAGTTGTTACGTAACTATATTTTAAATTCTTGTTATGTTCTGTTTTTTTTTTTTAACAAAAATGTCTTGGCACAGCTTACAACAGTAATTCTCAACCGGTGGCGCGCGTCCCACTAGGTGTACTTGAAGGTCGGTTGGTGAGATGTAAGGTTGCAAAAATAATGATTAATCATTAATCCACTCACGCAAGTAATTAGGGACAGAAACGAAGGAGTTTTATAAGGTTCGAGGCTTGTATTATGGAGGTACTCGTTTCTGACTGAGATATTTTGTGGTTTTACTAAGTCCTTCCAAGCGAATGCTGGGATAGTACCTCGATTAGGCCACACTCTCTTCCTATATATTATTTACAATATATTAGTTACTAATTATCTGGCCATTCGACGCTATGTACTGTGAGATACTACAACATCGTGCAGTAAATTACAAAAAAGAAATGACCTACAAAAGACTTTCCTGAATTCTGAGCAAAAGCCTTGCATTAATGCTGATTTATAATTGTGCTTGTGGCACTCAATAACATAGTTGATTGAGGCAAAATGTTACAATCCTTAAGGTCGCTGGTTCGATTCAAGATGAGGTCATTGAATTTCTTCAATTGACCTAATCCTTCCAGCTGCACTATGGCCCTGGGTTCGACTCAACCTCTAATAAAAATGAATACAAGTAATCTTCCTGGTGGTGAATGGCGGTCGGTGCTCAAGGCTGACAACCTTACCGCCATCTGTGAGCCGATTGGCTAGAAAATGTGGGAGCCTTGACGTCTCACAAACCTGTGGGCCTCTATGGCCTGTTTACAGGGATAGCTTTATACTTATAATAACGCTAACAGAATTGTATCGTGTTTATATAATTATTGTAATAAAATATATTATCAAGATTTGGTGCAGTCATCAAGTTCTTAAGAACATAATATAATATTAAAATATACACAACTGAAAAATATACTTCTCGAAAAGAGGGAAGCTTTGCTTTTTCTGTGATCCAAGAAGCAATGAACCGTTGAGAAGTGCGGAACATGCAGCATACACGGAAAGAGAGAGAAATGCGTACACAATTTTGGTTGGGAAACCTGAAGTAGGAAACAGTCTTGAAGACCTAGACGTAGATGGGAGGATAATATTAAAATAAATTTTGAGAGAATATGCTGTGAGGATGTAAGTTAGGTTCGTCTGGCCAGGATAGGGACCAGTGGTTGGTTCTTGTGAAAGCGATATTGAACCTTCGGGTTAGTTAAATTTTATTTTAATTTCTTGGCTATCTGAGCAACTATTAGATTCTAAGGAAGGGCTGTACTCCATGGAGTTAATTAATTCATGAAACTGCTTTCAACTTATGATCAGTATGATTATTTGTGGTTTATTTAACGACGCTACTGGTAGGTCAGGCTGTATAGCGTTCATTGTAGGATGAATAATGAATTGAAGTGACGTGGAAGGAGGCAATCGAGACCGAAATTTGGGCCCTATCCCGGTATTTGCCCGGGGGACTGAGATAAACTAACACCAGAGATAGGATATCTCTTTTCTGGCCGGGATTCGCAGCCGGAAGCTTCCGAGTACGAGGGAGTGCTACGTTCTGTCCTGCTCAATTTATTGTTGCACTCATCTGTCTGCTGAACATTACTGACTTGTGACATGGGACGCACTGTAATATGGTTGATGTTTATCGACGTTTCGAATGGAAATTCTGCCTCAATCTTCAGGGTAAAATCTATATTTGTATCTATATATTGTCTATTTTATATAACAGTGATATAATGCAGATACAAACATGATACCAATTGAAGACTGCTGTGTTACAGGTATCGAATCCAGTTTGTTCAGCACCATAGGAACATAATGGCAATTTCCTTGAAGAACGTTGGGTTCCTCTTCGTAGAAGATAATGACTGCATCAGCCAGGCTCTCAGCATGCTGAAGGTACTTTTTTAGTTTAGTTATTTAGAGAGGGTGGGTTTCCCCATGCACCGCGACCAGTTTGATCTATTGTGCTTCCCTCTATGATATTCTACCAGTCTCTATACCCTACCGATAAATGGTGCGTACCATCAGTCCAGCCGAGCAAGCGAGTTCGGCCACTTGCTTAGCGGTATCTAATGCTTCCCCCATCTATCAGAGGCCTTAGAGACTATTATTGGGGGGGAAACGTCCTGGACTTTGGCTCAGTGATCCCCTTTGGGGATATGAGGTTCTTTTACGTACCGTAAAGTTACGACACGGGACACACAGCTTAAAGTCCCTCCCGGAGGACTTGTTCCCTGAATTTTTCCGCCCTTAAAAATTCGACGACCTCCGCCGGGTATTTGAACCCGCGTACCACGAGTCATGAGGTGGGAACGTTACCTCTAGACTACGGAGGCCGCTTATGCTAAAGGTACTTAGAAACAATGTCTCTTTAATGTTGGTTTGACGCAAAATCAACTGATAATTTATAAACACCTACTGGTATGAAGAACATGGTCTTCTGGCTTGTAACATCTATGAAGACTAAACCAAGAAAGAAACGAACAGAAACATGCGGCAATTGCTGGTTCCTTGCTTTGATTGTCATTAGACCATGAAGACTGAGGCGATATATTCCTCCGAAACTTCGGAATTTCTCCGAACTGCGCGGCGTTATAACATAGCATATATAACATCTTCATAGTCAAAGTCGTGACAACTACAAAATAAACAAGATATTGGTATATGTACTCGTATATTCCAACTCAGAAGTTTGCAAGGTGAATATATTTGAAACTTTTCGACATGCCGTATGAAACAAAGGGAATATAAAGGGAATGCAGGAATTGGATAATATTATTTTTTGTTTGAAGTTAGCTGGATAGAGCTTGATTATACCGGGAGTTCGTTTTTGCATGCGTGGACTCAAGCGCAGCAGCTGGATGCAGCTACTGGCAAGTCAGGCTAGCCCATAACATACACGTATGAATTTGTTTCACGGTTGCGCTGAATGAAGGGAAATTGCTGTATAATTAATGGTGTACAGTATAACATGACCATATATTATTTTATTATTTACAGGATGACCTGTTTGGGATCAATGTTGAATTCTGCGAGAAGCTTATAACTTCCGCACTCGAAACATGTGAGTAACCATGTGTATGAAGCACCATATTTTTGTGCCCAAAATGATCTGGAACGCCTCAACCAAACTTTGAATATTTAGTCAATATGAACCATCTATACTCTCATGCTGAGCTCTTTGTGACAAAAAATAATGTATAAAATATAATTAGACTTCATTAATGAAATTATTATTTTTCCAAAAGTAAATAATTACTAAGCAGAGTAAAACTTGTAATATATTTTTTATTTAAAGCTCATTAATTCAACTAGCATCTTTGCTAATTAAATATATTGATGAGATTCCCATTTCAGGCACTGATAGTGTCTGAGCTAGTCAAGAAATGTATTGCATTTTATTAAACTCGAAAATTCATTACCGTGTTCATGACATCCTCCCATTGATTCCTATCCTGAGCCAGACGAATCTAGTCAATTTCAGATATAATTAATTGTTTAGATGAACAATATTCCAGATTTATCATGGTCATAATATTCTGTGTTCAGAGATTTTGTTGTGTAAGGTTTGGAACGAAATTTGGCCTTTTTACTTAATCATCTGCTTAAATCACGGGACAGCATAATAAATACGTGTAACCTCTGAGTTAAAGAAGATAGATCCACAAGAACAGAATGGTGGCCACTGCGCAGTTGTTCATTCCTTCACAAATATTCATTGAGACGTCACTAACTTCTAGAATATTACACAGTGTTGTCTGGTAGATCATTACCAAAATTTCGGGGGGAAACTACTGCCTCCATCTTCAGGGTAGAAATGTAAGCCGACCGTTAAAACAAGTATTACACATACAGGGAGAGGCATGATCGGAAAGGAGCCCAAAGTCAACCGATACCACTGTACAACATTTTCACCCTGACGATGGAGGCAGAAAAATCCTCTGAAAAGTTATTAATTGTATATTGCACTAAACTGCGTCACATGTCATAAAACGATACTCCTTCTAGTTATTGCCGTAAGAAACTAAAATTTCTAGTTATTCAAACACAAATTCATCACAATCATGTCTAGCCGGTTGACTTTGTTTTTCCTTGGCACTACAGCCCCAGTGGGCCTAGGCCTACCTCCATGAACTCCGTTCACTTCGGTTTTTCTAGATCTTATACATTCGGTAGGACTCCTTGGGCGAGTGATCAGCTCGTCGCAAGGCCTCTACCGACAAACACAGAAAAACGCATACAAACATCCATGGCCTGAGTGGGATTCGAACCCACGATCCCGGCTTCCGAGCGAGCGAAGACAGTGCATGCCTTAGACAGCTCAGCTACCGTGACCGGCAGCCGGTTGACGTAGCGTTAACAATATAGACTCACATTCGGTAGGTGCTCGGTTCGAATCTAGGCCGGGGCACTGTATATTCTGATTGAATTTTCGTGGCTTTCCTGAGTCCTTACAGGCCAATGCAGTGATAAGCACTTGGTTAGATCACTACGCCTTCCTTCCAAATCCATTTCAATTACTCATTCACCAGTCATCTCACCGTTCCACGCTGTATAATCGAGGTACTGATGGAGTGCTCTTAACGGACCCACAGATAACCCAGAAATCCTAACCACGTGAGGATAATTACTATGTTGAAACTGTAAATTCCTTTACGAGAAGTAAATTTTGGCCGATCACAGTGGGCGCGCTGTCTGAGACTTGAACTGTTTTCGTTTGCTTAAACGCTGGGATCGTGGGAGCGAAACCCACTCAAGGCATGGATGTCTGTGTGCGTAGATTTCTTGTTTATGTTGTTTTGTGTGTATGTAGCGGCCTTGCGACTAGCTGACCCGCCGGCCAAGGCGTCCTACCGACTGTGTGTAGGATTACGAAACTGAAGAAGTGGCCAGGGCCCAACAAAGGGCTGTAGAAATATTAATGAATGAAATAAATTTTGAAACAATTTGGTAATTAACAGAATAACTTGTTCCTTCATATGCCACTGTGTTGAGTCACCACGACATGAACACATAGGGGAAGTAGAGGTAAAGCTCCATATAATAGTATCCTCAGCAGCAGATAGAGGCCGAGAGTGTCCTTCAGGCTGCGGTCTGTTTAGCTTGGGGAACGAACCCAGTACTAATTAGCTAGGAGATACTACTATCCTAAATTCGCCACGATATTGGGTGTGTTTGTCACAGTTTTAACGTCTCTTTTTTATTTAAAAAATAATATATATAAAAATGGTCTAGGCAATGCCAATCCGGCCCTAACGCATCTCTGTAAATACCTGCATTGTGGAGCCATCTGTAGAGAAATAGTGAAACTAACTATTGCATATTGAGCAGCGAATTTAGTATTACAAAACATGTGAGGAAATTGACAGTTTCACCGCATGTTAGAAGAAACCACTCATGTTTGGTTACTGTTACGATTACATTAGATTGGCGTGATTATATTTCGTATGGGTTTGCATAGAGGCTTGTGAACACGCTAATGAACCTTCTGGTTCCATGTAAATTTCGGAATTTCTCAAGCAGCTTAGGCTCTGAAGAAAGGCCGTGCTACATGAAATCTTTAATTTAAACTTCGAGACTGACTATCCAACTAGTTACATTGAGCCCAATTCTTCTTGAGAAACTACTATTTGTGTAACTACTAAAAATTCTTAGCATCGTATGGAGTCTGAATGTTCGTTACCTTATTCACAGAAACTCGATATTCTTCAATATTCTCTGCGAGATGAACCGATTCTATACACACACCGTCCTGTTTTTTAAAGATCCATTTTGATATTCTTTCATCTACGTCTGAGTCTTCTCAGTGGCCTCTTTCCTTCAAGATTTACTACCAAAATATTTTCCCTTCTGTCCGTTCCAAAGCGTGCTGGAGCCATTTCATTCTCCTCGACTTCATTTTGTTTTTTTCAGACCTGGTGGACAAGATACTTTCTCTGCCCCAGCGGACTATAGAACAAACATACTATTTACTGTACGAAGCAATTTCCAAACATCAAGGTAAGTAGATTCTAAAGGGTTCTGACGATGGTGGGTGACACACAGAATTACTGGATTTTTGGAATTTTTCCATCGTTCGGAATTCTAGGTAATAGAGGACACTATTACCTAGAGTGTCCTCTATTACCTAAAATTCCGGACGATGGAAAAAGTCCAAGAACCCAGTAATTCTCTGTATCAAGCTAAGTGTTTAAAAATTGTTTTGGTTAAATTCTTATTGTCTCTTTTCACGAGAGATCATGAAGGGTGAACAAATGAGGACTTGGATGGAGATGATAGAGGCATTTATCAGGATTGTTCAGTGTATTTTCGTGAAGATAGGAGAGTGTCCCAATTAATGTAGGCAGTAATACAACCAAGAACTGAGCTGGAGACCCCGCAGACAATTTATTGTTAAATCAGCCTGTTAAATGTCAAAAGGGTTCATTCTGTATTTAACGACGTTCCCAGTAACGCGACTATACAACGTCGATGAGACGATAATTAATGAATATGGAACAGTTGGTGGAACGAGAATTGGCAGGGGAAACAGATGTGCTTGGAGCACACCACAAATTGCACATGATCTGATCTGGAAAGGAACTCGGGACGCACGGAGAGAAGACTTCTAACCTTCTGAATTATGCCACGTCTCCTGCAGGTGGATGAGCACAAATTGAAGAATAAAACCTAGATATATAATTTGGTGCAGAATCGTGATAAAACGAGGTTAACAAGAAAGCTAAGACAAGTATGTGATTCTTCGTTAAAAGCGACTGCATAATGGAAAGGTATTATCTGTTGGTTTTGTTTTACTGACAGAACTACTAAATAGATTGGATGACATCTGTTAATGGGGCGTGAATAAGTAAAGGTAAAATTATCCTTTCACCCGCCCAAGGAGTCCTACCGAATGTGTAAGATCTAGAAAGACCGAAGTGAACGGAGATGTTCATGGAGGTAGGCCTCGGCCCACTGGGGCTGTAGTGCCAAGGAAAAAAAAGTTATCCTTTAACAGGCCATGAAGGCCTAAAGGGTTGTGAGAGGTTGAGGCTCCGACATCATCTAGACATTCGGCTCACAGATGGCGGTAATGTTGTCAGCCTTACGCGCCGAGCACCCTTTATCCTCCAGGAAGATTCGTGGTACTCATTTCTGTTAAAGGCTGAGTCGACCCCAGGGCCATAGTGCGGCAGGAAGGATTAGGGAAATTGAAAAATATACAATAACCTCATCTGAACTCGAACCCGCGACCTTCCGGAATGTAGCATAATGCGTCAACCAACTACGCTACCTCTTAATGGGGCGTAAAACAAAAGATTTTCTATATATGCTCTCTATATTTGTCCATTGCCGTCTGTATCTTAAATGAAGTGTAACATCTTCAGGAGATATTTAATTTTTACTTACTTAATTTCAGAATGTAAAATGTTGACTGCAGTGACAGACGTCATAATGGCCGATACTGAAACTGTCGTAAGTATTAGAAAAATAAATATTGTTCCCATTTGACATATATAGACCATCAATAATTAATTTTAAACTAATTTTGGAATTATTCACTTAGGTTGCTGCTGATTCACTGGGATTCACTCAACAAGAAAAGGTTAATATATTCAAGATGGCAGCTTCATTGATGCAATTATCGCAGATTCCACGTCCAAGAAAGGTAGGGCCTTCTTGAGTTTTAGACAATTTGTCGCCCCTGCAGAGGGGAACATATTAAAATTGCTTCAGTCATCCATTTGTCCATCTGTCCGTCCGTCGACATGAAAAGCACAAGAAACGCAGAACGGAACGAATTGTCATGAAACTTGATACTGAGGAGTTTAACTAAAATTTGTCGACCTACAGCAGGGAACCGGGGTTGCCTGCACAGCTGACGCGAAGGATAAATACTGGACTCCCCTGGTTTTCTGTAAACCTGATGGTGCGTCTAATATACGAGTAACTAAGTTATTTTGTAACAGTGATTCTTCTATCATCACCAATTATTTTGTATGATTACGAGTACAAAATTAATTTTTTTATAATTCGATTTATGTATTTATTTTTCGTTCTTCCCACATATTTCTCTTATGCTGTGCTCATTTTTATGTCCTTATGCTCCTCTTGTACCACGTGGGAACTCAATGCCACAGCTCCTCATTTCGTTGCAAAATTATACCCACTCGTCACGTGCGCATGCTCATAGAGTTGTAATCAGTCGGTTGCACACAATAGACTTAAAAATCCAGTCCCAGTTTTTCAATTTGGAAAAAAAAAGGAAACCCAAAGTAAAACAGGTGGGCGTACGTTGGTTACGAAAACAGTTACTGGTTTTATGAGAGCCATTACAAATTTATAAATCCACAATGTGGAAAAGTGCAGTATTTTGTAGAAAAGTAAATGGGATATAGAACGACCGATGTGCTCAAGAGTTTTAAGGAACATTTACGGTGTTTCTTAAGAGAAACCTAGTAAGAACAAGCGAGTGATAACACTAAAATAGGAGGCAGACCACAGAACAGAGGGGCGCCTGAGAATCATTGTCTTGAATCTAGGTTAATATGTGGGATATTCTTACCGAAAAAAAGGTACATAATATTTTCCTCACTACCATAAGAAATGTTACAGGTAATTAAAAATAAACACTGAGAGTATTCATTCATTACACATTTAAAAATTTCAAATGCATACTATTTAATAAAATGTAAACAGCTATTGATGATATTATTAAAAATTTAGAAAGAATAACGTAAAAACTACTGGTAATGGTACTCAATTCCGAGAAGCACTGAGTATCATCAAAATCTTCTCCAAGCAGGAGATAAGTAAAAAAAGACACAAATAATTTTATAGAAAATGTCAAATCAGGCAAAATGAAAATAATGCCAATAAATAAATAATAAACAAACAATTCAATACGTATGAATAGGCTGTGAAACTTGTGTTAACTTATTATTAAATAATGTTACAGGTAAAATGTATCGAAAAACACTTAACAGAACTGTATAACAACATATGGAAGCCTATAGAGAAGGTTGGAAAGGAGTTCGTTCCTCAGGGCAAGGCAGTTGAAAGTGATGCCGCTGACCTGTATAACAACATCTTGAAGCCTATGGTGAAGGTTGGAAAGGAGTTCGTTCCTCAGGGCAAGGCAGTTGAAAGTGATGCCGCTGACCTGTATAACAACATCTTGAAGCCTATGGTGAAGGTTGGAAAGGAGTTCGTTCCTCAGGGCAAGGCAGTTGAAAGTGATGCCGCTGACCTGTATAACAACATCTTGAAGCCTATGGTGAAGGTTGGAAAGGAGTTCGTTCCTCAGGGCAAGGCAGTTGAAAGTGATGCCGCTGACCTGTATAACAACATCTTGAAGCCTATGGTGAAGGTTGGAAAGGAGTTCGTTCCTCAGGGCAAGGCAGTTGAAAGTGATGCCGCTGACCTGTATAACAACATCTTGAAGCCTATGGTGAAGGTTGGAAAGGAGTTCGTTCCTCAGGGCAAGGCAGTTGAAAGTGATGCCGCTGACCTGTATAACAACATCTTGAAGCCTATGGTGAAGGTTGGAAAGGAGTTCGTTCCTCAGGGCAAGGCAGTTGAAAGTGATGCCGCTGACCTGTATAACAACATCTTGAAGCCTATGGTGAAGGTTGGAAAGGAGTTCGTTCCTCAGGGCAAGGCAGTTGAAAGTGATGCCGCTGACCTGTATAACAACATCTTGAAGCCTATGGTGAAGGTTGGAAAGGAGTTCGTTCCTCAGGGCAAGGCAGTTGAAAGTGATGCCGCTGACCTGTATAACAACATCTTGAAGCCTATGGTGAAGGTTGGAAAGGAGTTCGTTCCTCAGGGCAAGGCAGTTGAAAGTGATGCCGCTGACCTGTATAACAACATCTTGAAGCCTATGGTGAAGGTTGGAAAGGAGTTCGTTCCTCAGGGCAAGGCAGTTGAAAGTGATGCCGCTGACCTGTATAACAACATCTTGAAGCCTATGGTGAAGGTTGGAAAGGAGTTCGTTCCTCAGGGCAAGGCAGTTGAAAGTGATGCCGCTGACCTGTATAACAACATCTTGAAGCCTATGGTGAAGGTTGGAAAGGAGTTCGTTCCTCAGGGCAAGGCAGTTGAAAGTGATGCCGCTGACCTGTATAACAACATCTTGAAGCCTATGGTGAAGGTTGGAAAGGAGTTCGTTCCCCAGGGCAAGGCAGTTGAAAGTGATGCCGCTGACCTGTATAACAACATCTTGAAGCCTATGGTGAAGGTTGGAAAGGAGTTCGTTCCCCAGGGCAAGGCAGTTGAAAGTGATGCCGCTGACCTGTATAACAACATCTTGAAGCCTATGGTGAAGGTTGGAAAGGAGTTCGTTCCCCAGGGCAAGGCAGTTGAAAGTGATGCCGCTGACCTGTATAACAACATCTTGAAGCCTATGGTGAAGGTTGGAAAGGAGTTCGTTCCCCAGGGCAAGGCAGTTGAAAGTGATGCCGCTGACCTGTATAACAACATCTTGAAGCCTATGGTGAAGGTTGGAAAGGAGTTCGTTCCCCAGGGCAAGGCAGTTGAAAGTGATGCCGCTGACCTGTATAACAACATCTTGAAGCCTATGGTGAAGGTTGGAAAGGAGTTCGTTCCCCAGGGCAAGGCAGTTGAAAGTGATGCCGCTGACCTGTATAACAACATCTTGAAGCCTATGGTGAAGGTTGGAAAGGAGTTCGTTCCCCAGGGCAAGGCAGTTGAAAGTGATGCCGCTGACCTGTATAACAACATCTTGAAGCCTATGGTGAAGGTTGGAAAGGAGTTCGTTCCCCAGGGCAAGGCAGTTGAAAGTGATGCCGCTGACCTGTATAACAACATCTTGAAGCCTATGGTGAAGGTTGGAAAGGAGTTCGTTCCCCAGGGCAAGGCAGTTGAAAGTGATGCCGCTGACCTGTATAACAACATCTTGAAGCCTATGGTAAAGGTTGGAAAGGAGTTCGTTCCCCAGGGCAAGGCAGTTGAAAGTGATGCCGCTGACCTGTATAACAACATCTTGAAGCCTATGGTGAAGGTTGGAAAGGAGTTCGTTCCCCAGGGCAAGGCAGTTGAAAGTGATGCCGCTGACCTGTATAACAACATCTTGAAGCCTATGGTGAAGGTTGGAAAGGAGTTCGTTCCCCAGGGCAAGGCAGTTGAAAGTGATGCCGCTGACCTGTATAACAACATCTTGAAGCCTATGGTGAAGGTTGGAAAGGAGTTCGTTCCCCAGGGCAAGGCAGTTGAAAATGATGCCGCTGACCTGTATAACAACATCTTGAAGCCTATGGTGAAGATTGGAAAGGAGTTCGTTCCCCAGGGCAAGGCAGTTGAAAGTGATGCCGCTGACCTGTATAACAACATCTTGAAGCCTATGATAAAGGTTGGAAAAGACATCGTTTCCCAGGGCAAGGCAGTTGAAAGTGATGCCGCTGACCTGTATAACCACATCTTGAAGCCTATGGTGAAGGTTGGAAAGGAGTTCATTTATGTGGAGAAAAATTTCTTTGACCAGGTGAGTGTTAATATATGGTTATAATATTTATACCTTTATATGTAATTCTGATGTTGCATATCTAATTTTTCTATTAATTTCTCTATATTTATAATATTTATACATTGCATCTTTTCTTTTATTCATAGTTCTTTTATCCTGAATTTTACTCACGTTTTCATGATAAATTTTGAGGCAGAGCAGAGTTGTCTCAACATTATTATAGTGCACATTTTGAACGTAACATAACGTTAGAGTTCTTCCTAAGGAGTTTTTAGCATTTTCATGTATCGTTGAATTTATTTGTTCAATTATATATTTTGTTTGATTTGGGCGTGTGTCTTTTGGCTTGGGATATCACTCTACGACGAAAGGTTTGCGATCACTTCGAGGTAAAGATATCAAATATTATTTAAATTGTATAATAATTTTTTGTTGGAAATTTATTTAGAATGTAGAATGGTTTAATAACCTGTAATTAAGCATTTTTCTGTTACGAAGTTTCTTTTGGTACAAAAACTTACTGTTGGAGCTTATTTTATGAGGGGCAGTCAAATGAAAACGGGTGAGAAGCCAAAACATATTAAAGAACATTTCTTACCTCAAAAGTAATCTCCAGAAATGTTAATACATTTATCCCACTGGGAGATAAGGTGGTCAGTCCCATCCTTGAAAAAGCTTGTGGGCTGTCTACGGAACCGCATCTTTACCCAGCCATACACGTCTTCGTCCGATGCAAACCCATGTCCACGAATGTCTTTCTTCAGGTCTCAAAAAATGTGAAAATCACATGGGGAGAGATCTGGGTTGTAGGGGGGATGTTGAAGCACTTCCCAACCAAATCTCTATAGCGTATTTCTCACAGATTATAAATTTGATTTGAGGCTTACATTCTTCATATATAACTCAAAATTTGAAATTTTTTATTCATTCAATGCAGTGTTCAAAATATCGGTCCTCAAAATGGTCAGAAGGTACAAATGAGATTAGGATTTAAATGAATTCATTAGTATGTGAATGTCAGTTAGGATCTCCGTTAACTTTTATTGGGGCCAGGGCCCTTTGAAGGGCCCTAACAAGATGAGGGGTGCAAATTGGACCCAACATGAGCCGAAGTATTCGTTGGCCCGAAAATTTCCATCCCAACAAGTCAATAAACATACGAGTTTTCACTTGCAATTTAAACAATTAAAATGTGATTAGGTTAATTAAATGAAGAGGGGGGGGTGTATGGAGCGTGCTGCACGGGAATTGGATGCCAAGCTTTGGTCTGTAAACCTAAAGAATTAGTCCTGTTAAGAGACCTGAGCACTACGTTCACAAGCGTCCACCATCCTGAGCCAGATGAATCCAGGCCACTTCCCCATAACCTATAATATTATAATTGATTTCAATATTATGCTCCATACGGCGTTAACTATATTAAGCGATGCATTGCCCTCAGATTTGCTAAAGAATATTCCGCGTTTTCTAAAATTTTACGTGCTAGTACAGTCTCTGTCAATATCCTTCATTTGAAATTTAATAACATTTTGTGATGAATTATATTTTATGGGATATAACGCTGTGTAGTTCATTGAACTTTAAATGACGTTTCGGGAGAACAATTCGGCTCCATCTTTTGGGTCGAAGAATAAGGCAAAAAAAACCCCGCATGAAGTTGATAGTATTACTGGCTTCTTATCTCATACTTCGATCCTGAAGATGGAGGTGACATGGCCCTCCCAAACGTCGGTTGATTTTCAACGGACTGTGTGCCAGAAGACAGAAATATTCATAACCCCTACCATGCATATTAATGGGTAATGATTTCAAAATAATTATGAACACCATTTTATATTAATTAAATATATTATGAAGGTCATTCTTTTAGAATTGTGTGTTTGGAACTTTCAGGACATCTACGGTTTGAAGTTCCTCTACTTCATGGAAGATATGCTCAGACTTATGGGCGCTATGCATATGTACCCTACATCCATGTTTATGATGTCTTCAGAAGTCATGATGCCTGGTTCTGCTTAAATTTTTAATAAATCTTAAATATTTCTCATTACGATTCATGTATACATGTAGATCTGTAGTCCAACAGTAATCATCATGGTGTATTATATCCGTTTATTAGAGTCCTTGTTTCAATTGATTGTACATTGTAAAAATATTTTATGAAAACCAGCAATTGTTTTACAGCAATGTAAATATTAACACAGAGATGATTATCTCTTTAGGAATGCTTCTTTCTTAATGCACAATTATTGAGAAATTCATTTCTTAATTAGTTCTTAAAACGCTTTTTTGTGTGACTCTACCCCCTCAATTTCTAAATTAACTTCTGTTATTTGTAAATAATTCATTCTTGTAAATATTATATAATCAACACCTCAAGCTTTAAAATAAAGTATTCTATTTGATGAAAGCTTTGAATGTATTTGAATATTCCTCTATTCTTGGATGTGACGCCTTGTAATGTTGAAAACTGTTAGAAACATTTCGGAGGAATGTGCTACCTCCATCTTCAGTGTGAAAATGTAATCTCCTTCAGAACCTAATATCTCGCTTAGTAAATGTATGTAGGGACGCTATTATGTCTTGTCAGCAGATTCGAAGGGCATCAAATGAAGAAAGCAAAGTTACTTTATTCCCTGTTATTTTTCCTGAAGGTGGAGGCAGCGACTTCCTCCAAAATTTTTTAAAATTCCACCAAATTACACGGCATCACATCTCAGAAGACAGCAATCTTTATAGTGACCGCAGTACAGTAGCGACTCCTGACTGGACGTTGTGGTCGAATCGACAGTTCTTCTGATTCGTATTCAGGTGATCTCCCGTTCAAATACCGGCCCAAATACTCAAGTGTATTACCCACTCCCTGCATAGAATATTCGCAATATTATCGCAAATTAATCCACCACCGTATCCTTCCGTATCCTTTTCAAATCATCCCACATTAATCAAACTATCGTTCGGTGCTGTATAATTTGACTTGTAGAAAGAATTTCTAAATAGACCATAAGGATAGATGTAAAGTCGTCGCTGAGTTTAATACTATGAGAAACAATAGGACACTGGAGGCATATCTCCACACAGTCTTAATGTCGACTCTGGATGAAGGTAAAGTTATCAGATTCATGTTTCGCCCGTTTTACCCCTGGAGGGATACGATGCTGGGTGGATCTCAGAAAGAAGTTTGGAGCCTGTGGAGAAGGCAAATGTGTCTAGCCCCTTCCGGGAAATGAACCATGATACCTCGATCGTCTAGCCTGTAGGTTATTTGTAATACCAATTGAGCTGTCCCACATCTAACCGCAGAGAACAGTGCCAAAATGCTCGTTCCTAATTTTGCCCCCCCCCCCTTTTCACCAAGATTTCTCGAAAATAAGAGGGCACGCTTGTAAGACTTAAAGCTATCCTCGTAACAGGCTCTGGAGGCCCATAGGGTTGTGAGACGTCGAGGCTCCCACATTATCTGGATAATAGGCTCACAGATAGCGATGAGGCTGCCAGCCTTACGCTCCGACCGGGCACCCTTTATCCCCAGGAAGCTTCCTTTCTCTTAGAGGCTGAGTCGACCCCAGGGCCATAGTGCAGCTGGAGGGATTAGGTCAATTGAAAAATTCAATTACTTCATCGGGAATCAAACCTGCAACCTTCCGGCTTGTAGCATAGTGCCTCAACGAACTACGCTACTGCGATTCTTGCTTTGCTGGGAACATTAAACTTATATTCAGGCTTTAAATATGATTTGTCAATATCTGAGATAAATTTTGTTGTGCGTCACACCTCGAGCACGGAGAATCACGGAAGAAAAGTCCTGTATGTTCAATGAGATCTCCGGTTCAATGTTTCAGGTTCCGATTTTGTGTTGAAAACAGAGAAGGTATTACGTTTTTAAGGCCGATAACCGTGCCAGGGCAGTTTGAGGCATGAATTGCCTGGGATCGTGCGTTCGAATCCCACTCAAAGCATGGATGTCTGTGTATGTTTATTATGTGTTTGTGTTCACCTGTGTGTAGGTAGCGGCCTTGTTAAGTGCTGATCCCCCGTCCAAGGTATCCTACCTTCTTTATAAAAACGATTACGAAACTAAAGACGAGACCAGGGCAGAACAAAAGGCTGTAGAGTCATTGATAAATAAATGAATTTTATTTCTGACGCTGGAATTATTTGGCATATCAAGAAAATACTATTTGTACTATTGTCTCTTGAACAAATGTTAAAGAAACTGACATGCTGTTTGTAGGTTGGCAGTAGGAATATTCCCCTGCTGTGAAATAGAATACGGAACGTAACTGAGAAAGTTCGCTGAATGTACATCATTTGACATGCGGTCACAGGGGAAAATGACGGAGTGTAATAGTAAATTTCTTGTATTCACAACAGATTCCCTCAAAGCTGAGTATATTTTGACACGGCAGTTACTCGAAAATACATTCAGATCCAAGATAACTCTACCATTTGTTGGATAAATTTAACTTAATAATTCTTCCCAGAACTTCTTGTTCTTTTTTATTTAAGTAAACTGTCATTAAAGCTTCTGTGACAGGATGATAAATGGATATGAAGATCTCGGTGAAGTGAAAATTGGTAAGGGAAACTGAAATACCCTGAGAAACCTGCTCCAATGTTAATTCGTCCACCACAAATCACTCATAACCTAACTTGGAATGGGATCCGGACAGCAGAATTAGGAAGCCGGTGGCTAACCTCCCTAGGTATGACACGGCCCAAAGAGACTCTTAAAAATTACCAGGTAAATTACTTCATTCATTTTATCACACATGTAAAGCTATGGAATATCTCATTAATGTCATCAGAGAGTTAGAAATTAACAAGTATAACATTCATGTTATTTATTGATTTAAAGACGTTTCCAGGAGCTCAGACACTGGACAGACTGGTCTGTCAGCACCTGCTCACGCTGGTTCCTTGCTCGCGGATTATCTTCTTTCTTCTACGCTGAAGATGAAGGCAATACGTTCCTCCGAAACGTCGGTTAACACAATTTCTACTCGGCGCCACATCCCAGAAGACGATTTTCTTCATAGTCACAGCTGTGAAACCTCAAATCTTACATACTCAGGATTTTCCTAGTGTCCACCCGAGATTCGAAGCGAGCATCTCCCAGATACATCAGTAATATTACCGCTTGAGCCAAATCGGTCTGCCATTAATATTATCAGAATCATAGAAATTAGCAGACACATTCATGCTATCAGAATAGTAAAAAAAAAGAAAAAACTCAGCGAAAAGCCCCCTTCTTGTTATTCGTCTCGTAGGAATCACCAAATATGTCATCCATGTTATCAGAATTGTAAGCATTGCCAAATATTTCGATCATGTTATTAGAATCGTTAAAGTTGTCAAATGTCGTGCACGTTAACAGACCAGGAATAATTACCATCAAGTTATAAGAACCGTACTATTTATCACACATCTGATTCATTCTATACTCGACAGATATTTTCAAAATATTTATTGAAAGGGACATATGTACGATCATACTTGATACCACACTGCTATTCGAACTACTTTCCTATCTTATTTAGTGCTCGAGAGATATCATTTACAAAATTCTGCGCACACATACACGAGCCTTAGCATTTTTATTGTGGTTTATTTACAGTTTAGTTTACTTCTCTTTGTGTTCATAATGATATTAAAAATACAGCTCGCTTTTTATTTGAATTCCGCATTTAATGTGTGTTACTGAGAAGTGCACATAGATGGCGGTGAAGCCGGTGCTCTTTTGCTGACAAAAGACGTCCGAAATATTATACAACCGTTCGAGTCGCTTCTAGTTATCGGCTATCGAGACATGCATAATGGTTACTTGACAGCGTGACCCTCGAGAGCAAGTAATATATTCGTATTTTTGGATTATTTAAGCTATGCATATTGTCTGAGTTGTATATTCCGTGTCTGTCGCTTGGTTGATGTTGCGTGTGTGCAGTACGATATTTTACACGCAGTTTGCACGTGCAGATTAACTACAGTTTCTGCAGGCTATGCCGTACACTACTTTACTGGATGAGGGGAGGATGGGGGAGAAGGAGCGTACAAATCGTCTACATTTTTACCCACAGTTCTCTGTTGTTGTGACGGAAAAGTGCTGACTAGTGCTGACGTTGTCTGATGGTGTTTTGTTGCTGGCTCTACGGTCGTGTTCTATACAGTGTTAATGATAATATAGCCATTATTTTGTGAGATTTGTGAGTGTTGTGTTTTGGTTTGCGTATATAACAAGTAAATTGAGACATGGACGAACCATTTCCATGAGACAGGTTTCGTCTCGAACCTGAGAATCTATCAGCACCAGTCTTGTTTTCTTCGAAGTGAGGAGAGGTTGTAAAGTTGTGAAGTTTTACGACGCTGTTCAACACCATTCGACGTCATTCTACGTGTTCTTTATCATGTTACGTCATTCAAAAGACGCTTCATTTGACCCTGTCCTGAGCCAGTTGAATCCAGTTCACATCCTGTAACTCCATGCTCGATCAGCTGGTCAACAAATTTTCTTGCCTTTTATGGAACCCGTCAATTTATTACCGTGGGCACAAGAGTCCTAGACTCAAACTGTGTTCTGGGAGATCTGAATTCAGCGCACACAATCAGCCTTAATGTCACAGAAGCCAGTAGTTTTTTTTTATTTTTTTTATTGCTAGTGAGGGGGGACTAAATCCCTTGTACTGCGGCCAATTCTGGCCTATTGTACCAGTCCCAGATGATAGGCGAGGGTGATTGTGGAGCAATTGGTGGAATGAAGATTGGCAGGGGAAACCGAAGTACTCGGAGAAAACCTGCCCCAGCACCACTTTGTCCAACACAAATCCCACTTGACCAGACCCGGGATCGAACCAGGGCCGCCGCGGTGGAAAGCCAGCGACTAATCGCTTGAGCTATGGCGCGGAAGTCAGTAGTTGCTCAGCTAGTCAATAAATTTACAGAATTTTAAGGAACCCGAAGTTTCGTTAACTATGATCATTAGTGCCCTACGCTGGTTCATATCCTGAGCCAGTTGAATCCAGTTCCCACCGTTCAGTTCTATTATTTTTACCGACACATTTTAATATTACGCAAATTAAGGATAGAGACAATTTACATTCAATTTTTTTTTTACATTTATGAATGAGTAATGGCTGATATTCTTTGGCCTTTGTCCGGGTACAAACTCCGTCGTAAGAATGTTGCTACCAAGCTACGAG